AACATTACATCTTATCAAGCTTTTAAAAAAGTTATCAAAATTTTTATTAAATATGACATCACTACATTCGTTAGATTATCTGGCGATAGATACGACGAATTGTTTTCTAAAGATTAATTTTCTGTAGTAGCAGCTGTAAAGAGAAATTCAAGTGTACTCTCTTTGTTAATTTTAAGTGTTAACCTTCATTATTAAAGCAACTGATATGCTTCTTCAGATCAGACACTTATATTTAATTATCCAATAGCATAAAAACTTAGTTAAATTCGTTATCTTTTGTATGTTCATAAAACAGAGGAAATTGTTATTTCCATTACTAGCTAAGCCCACCCAAACGGTGATGATCTGTCCATGATATTATGGAGTCAGTGATTGTGTTAGATTTGGACACCTAAGATGAATTCGAAATTTAATCGAAATCATGGTTGTTCAGTTATTAAACCTTGAAGAACGCGAAGTTAATGAAATTAAGTTTTAATATTCCATAAAACTTAAAAAGAAAAATAATAATATTGATTAATAAACAATCAACCATTATTGTTTCATTTATGCTGAACAATAAATATGTTATTAAATTTTACTTTGATACAAAAATATTTCATGTTTCCTAAAGTCTTATGAAGAACAGAACTGAGACTTGTAAAAATCACTCACATCAGAAGCGGTTGTGGTTTGAGACTAAGAATCTCACCCAGAAGTACTTATTAGGAGACAGGGGCATACTTACAAGGTTTCACAAGTCTCACCCAGAGTTATAGGCATACAAGCAACTTTAAAATCTCACTAAGTTTAATGGGTAACGCCGCAAGTTCCTACGATTAGAAACAATACACAGTCAAATAATGAACTTGGAACTTTGTTATATGGGCCAACGAAAGCAGTAAACATTTGAACAATTTTTAACCAATTCGCTTTATCTTCATCTTTTTCATCATAGAGTAAACAAATACAGCAGCTTCATAAAATTTAATGTGGAAAATACGCTAATTATTTATTTATGAGTAAAAAATTATTAGTAATAACTGGTCATAGCTGTAGATTCTGTAGATGGGACATTACTAACATTACTAAGTAATTTGTCATATCATTAAGCGATGCACATAAGTATATACATACATATATGTATATGCGTACTTGTAGTCATTGTTTTAAACAGTAATAACCTTGATGAACCACATTAATCGATTTGGGAACACGCAACAGTCTATTTGATATGTATAATCGTATTTCAAGTAGAACGTTCTACAAAAGTTATTGGAGTTCTTACAATTTGTTTCAAAGAACAAAAATTTGTCGCAGAGAAAGAAAACTAAATCCTAAAAAGGCATGATTTTCTTTATGAAATTTTCAAAAGACATCTCTTGAAGGAGGGTAGTTGTCGGATTTGCCGAAGCGCCTACCAGCTGATACCCCTGCTGGAGGGAACCCTAGGAAAGGTTCTGTGAAAATGGCTGGGGAAAGAGATGGGAATTGAGTGTGGAAGAGAAATGACTAGAGAGAGAAAGCTCACGAAGAGAGAGCGCCTACCAACTAATAACCCTGCTGGAGGGAAATCAACCCGAAAAGTTATGCACTCCAGGAAACGTTCTGTGAAAATGGCTGGGGAAGGAGATGGGAATTGATTGTGGAAGAGAAAGGATTGAGGAGAGAATGGTCACGAAGATAGAGCCAGTGACCTACGTCGGATGAGTTGACAATGTTTTATTTATAGCGTCTAATTTTATGTTAAACCACTTCCAACACCCTATACGACAACATCAAAATCACATCGACTTCTACACGTATCAACATCCTACAAACCAAATTCACTAAACGAACCATCGACAATGAAAATCTCATTCCAACAAACGCTCTATCCACATACCTCGGTGAATCACAGGCAAACCCAAGGAAAATCCCCTTTCTCTTACCAAACTATTGGCAATCACTTCCGACCTTCCTGACGAATTCCATTTGATAGGTTCTACGACGGCCTGAGGTAGAGGGGTAGGTTCGAAGAGACCCTCCTCGGGAATCCGTCATTACCGGGTCGTACAGACGAGTGGGTGTCTTTTGAAGATTTGGACAGTCCATACTACCGGAAAACAGAGGAGTGAATAGAACTTTATTTACTAGTAGGTTAAAAATGTCAAAAAGACGTTTTCCTTGGGGTGTTTAAGGATAAAACCATGGTAGACTATGTGGGAGAGAAGGGGGTTAAAAACTGTCTAATTGTAAAATACTGCCCCTTAACTAAACATGAAGTATTATTGGTTACAACAGTTCGTGGTGACGTAAAAGTAAATGCTTCGGGAATAAAACCCAGTTAATAATAAGAATTTCATCAAAAAGCCATCCTATTTTCAGAGAATACTCCTAGT